CCCTGCGGCAGAAGCAGCTGGCAGATGCCGAGATGGAGAAGCACAAGAAGTTCGCTGAGCAGACGCTGCGGCAGAAGGCACAGGTGGAGCAGGAGCTGACCAAGGTGAAGCTGCAGCTGGATGAGACGGACCACCAGAAGGGCATTCTGGATGAGGAGCTGCAGCGGCTGAAGGAAGAGGTGACTGATGCTGTCAGGCAGAAGGCCCAGGTGGAGGAGGAGCTCTTCAAGGTCCGGGTGCAGATGGAAGAGCTGGCGAAGCTGAAGAGCCGGATCGAGGAGGAGAACAAGGCGCTGATCCTCAAGGACAAGGACAACACGCAGAAGTTCCTGGCAGAGGAGGCTGAGAAGATGAAGCAGGTGGCAGAGGAGGTTGCCCGGCTCAGCGTGGAGGCCCAGGAGGCCGCCCGCATGCGGAAGCTGGCCGAGGACGACCTGGCGCAGCAGCGGGCACTGGCGGAGAAGATGCTCAAGGAGAAGATGCAGGCGATACAGGAGGCCACGCGGTTGAAGGCTGAGGCAGAGATGCTGCAGAAGCAGAAGGACCTGGCGCAGGAGCACGCCAAGCGGCTGCAGGAAGACAAGGAGCAGATGCAGCAGCGCCTGGCTGAGGAGACTGAGGGTTTTCAGAAAACCCTGGAAGCTGAGCGCCGGCGGCAGCTGGAGATCACAGCTGAGGCTGAGCGCCTCAAGCTGCACGTGGCAGAGATGAGCATGGCCCAGGCCAAGGCCGAGGAGGAAGCCAAGCGGTTCAAGAAGCAGGCGGAGGAGATCAGTGAAAGGCTGCACGAGACTGAGCTGGCCACGCAGGAGAAGATGACACTGGTGCACACTCTGGAAATCCAGCGGCATCAGAGTGACCAGGACGCAGAGAAGCTGCGGAGGGCCATTGCTGAGCTGGAGCAGGAGAAGGAGAAGCTGAAGCAGGAGGCGGCATTGCTGCAGCAGAAGGCGGAGGAGGTACTGGGCTACGGGTTCCCCTTAGCAGTGGTGGTACACAGGGAGACCTTCCCTCTCTCCAGCTGCCCCGTGTCGCGGGACAGCAGGCGTGCGGGCAGCTGGCCAGGCTCTGGGAACTGCACTAGCTGGTCCCTGAGGACCATCACTGCAGTGTGAGCGTGCAGCCTCCAGCCCTGGAGCTGCACCCTGCACCCAGCGGGCATGGGCACGGACCTGGCTGCTGGCACTGTCTGGGAGGCTGGAGGTGTTACTGAGCCTCCCGCTCCAGTGTCTGTCCTCCCTGCCAGGGGTCATGGTGAGTGGCTGCTTGGGGGGCAGGACCCTCATGTGCGGGTCAAAGGCATGCGCAGAGCCAGCATCAGGTGCAGTGAGGCAAACCCAGCAGGGAGATGTCAGAGCAGGACCTCCCCACACCCTGCCCTCCCCTGCTGCCAGCAGCTCCTGCCATGGAGGGGTGATCCCCACCACCTGTGCCAGCTTTTCGGCCTCATGGCTCATCCTGCCTTATTCCTCTCCATAGACAAAAGCAGTCCCCAGCTCCCAGCCTTGGTACTGGGCAGGGAGTCCCTGACCCCACAGAAGAGCTTGTGTCTTTTCCCTGCTCGTTCCACCCACGTGTTGTTTGCTGCAGCTCCCTAACCCCAGCTCTGCTCCCTTAACTCTTAACCTACGTTGCACAGTGGTTCGGTGACTGTGCACCCCTACCATCCCAGTGCCACCCCTGCTGCCTGTCCCCCCGCCCCAGCCCGCCCCTGCTACCCCACCAGCGCTGCCCTCCTGGGCAGACCGTGCCATCTGACTGTGCTGTCCTCTCTCTCACCCCAGATGCAGGTGGCCCAGCAGGCACAGCTCCGCCAGGAGACGCAGCTGCTCCAGCAGACCTTCCTGACAGAGAAGGACGCCCTGCTGCAGAAGGAGAAGTTCATCGAGGAGGAGAAAACAAAGCTGGAGAAGCTCTTTAAAGACGAGGTGAACAAAGCCCAGAACCTGAAGGCAGAGCAGGAGCGGCAACAGAAGGAGATGGAGCAGGAGAAGCAGCAGTTGAAAGCCATGCTGGATGAAGCGAAGAAGCATCAGAAAGAAGCAGAGGAAAACGTCCAGCACAAGCAGGAGGAGCTGCAGCAGCTGGAGAGACAGCGGCAGCAGCAGGAGAAACTCCTGGAAGATGAGAACAAGAAGCTCAGGGAGAGACTCCAGCAGATGCAGGAAGAGTACAAGGCTGCTCTGGCCCAGACACGAGAGATCATGATCCAGACAGATGACCTGCCTGAGGAGGCCACGGTTATGACAACGCAGCTGCCGGATATCAAAGCTGTGCCCAACGGCAGAGATGCGGTGGATGGCTTAGCGCAGAACGGGGAGCCAGAGTTCGCGTTTGATGGCATCCGTCAGAAAGTATCGGCAGAGAAGCTGGCTGATGCTGGCATTTTGAGCAAGGAGAGCTTAGACAAGTTGGCGAAGGGCATTGTGAGTGTTGGCGAGCTCTCGCAGAGGGAAGACATCAAGAAGTACCTGCAGGGAAAAAAAAAGAAAGAGCAGCATCGCCGGTTTGTTAATCAAACCCACCAATCAAAAGATGAGCATCTATGAAGCCATGAAGAAGAAGCTGCTCAGCCCAGGCACCGCGCTGGTCCTCCTGGAAGCGCAGGCTGCCTCCGGCTTCATAATTGACCCTGTGCGAAATGCGAGGCTCTCAGTGAATGAGGCGGTGAGAGAGGGAGTGATTGGGCCAGAACTGCACAATAAGATGCTGTCTGCTGAACGGGCGGTAACTGGCTACAAGGATCCTTACACGGGCGACAAGATCTCACTCTTCCAGGCCATGACGAAGGAGCTCATTGTCAGGGAGCATGGCATTCGCCTGCTCGAGGCCCAGATCGCCACCGGTGGCATCATCGACCCTGTCAACAGCCACCGCCTGCCTGTAGAAGCTGCCTACAAGAGGGGCTACTTCAATGAGGAGATGAACCAGGTCCTCTCTGACCCCACCGATGACACCAAGGGCTTCTTTGACCCCAATACACAGGAGAACCTCACCTACCTGCAGCTCATGGAGCGGTGTGTGACTGACCCAGACACAGGGCTGTGCCTCCTGCCGCTCACTGACCAGGCAGCCAAAGCAAGAGAGCTGGTCTACACTGACAAAGAAGCTAAGGACGTCTTTAAGAAGGCCACAGTGACGGCACCGTTTGGCAAGTTCCAAGGGAAGACAGTGACCATCTGGGAGATCATCAACTCTGAATACTTCACTGAGGACCAAAGGCGGGACCTGATCCAACAGTACAGGACTGGCAAGATCACAGTGGAGAAGATCATTAAAATTATCATCACGGTTGTAGAGGAAAGTGAGAAAAAGAGACAGATGTGCTTTGAGGGCCTCCGGGCCCCTGTGCCTGCCACTGAGCTGCTGGAAAGTGAAATCATCAACAAGGACCTCTACAACCAGCTGCACCAGGGCAAGAAGTCTGTGAAGGATGTGGCAGAGATGGAGTCTGTGCAGCAGTATCTGAAGGGCACGGATGCCATTGCCGGCGTCCTAATAGAGTCGACTGGCCAGAAGCTCACCTTCTACGATGCCCTGAAAAGAAACCTGCTGAAGCCAGAGATTGCCCTGTCCCTGTTGGAAGCGCAGGCTGCCACCGGCTACATCATTGACCCTGTGAGGAACAAGCTGTTCTCTGTTGATGAGGCGGTGAAGGCCGAGGTGGTAGGGCCAGAGTTTCACGAGAAGCTGCTGTCTGCAGAGAAGGCGGTGACTGGCTACAAGGATCCCTATACAGGCCAGACGGTTTCCCTTTACCAAGCACTCAAGAAGGGCCTCATCCCCAGTGATACCGGGTTCCGTCTGCTGGACATCCAGCTCGCCACTGGAGGCATCATCGATCCCGTGAACAGCCACCGCCTCCCACTTAAGGTTGCCTATAAGCGGGGCTACTTCGACCCGGAGATAAATGAGGCTCTGTCTGAGCTCCGAGATGGTGCCAAGGCTTTCTATTGTCCCAACACCCAAGAGCATCTCACTTATGCCCAGTTGCAGGAGAACTGCCACCGTGACAAGCAGACTGGCTTCTCCCTGCTGCCGCTGTCGGACAAAGCCATCCAATCACAGCAGGAGGAGGTCTACACAGACAGCCAGGCGAAGGAGTGCTTTAACAAGGCGACCGTAGAGGTCCCAGTGGGCAGCATGAAGGGCCAGACAATGACCATCTGGGAACTGATCCACTCCGAGTACTTCACTGAGGAGCACCGGCGGGAGCTCCTCCGACAGTACAAGACTGGCAAGGTGACCATCGAGAAGATCATCAAGATTGTGATCACCATCATTGAGGAGGCAGAGACCAAAAAGCAGGAGAAGCTGACATTCAGTGGCCTCCGGGCACCCGTACCTGCCAGTGAGCTGGTGGAGTCCCGCATCATCAGCAAAGCCCAGTATGAGCAGCTGAAGGAAGGCAAGAAATCGGTGAAGGACCTCTCTGAGACAGATGCAGTGAGGAGATTCCTGCATGGCAGCGACTGCATTGCCGGCGTCTATGTGGAGGCGACCAAGGAGAAGCTGAACATCTATGAGGCCATGAAGAGGAACCTGCTGAGACCCAGCACTGCTGTGGTCCTCCTGGAGGCCCAGGCAGCAACTGGGTTCTTGATTGACCCTGTGAAGAACCGAAAATTGTATGTCAATGAGGCTGTGAAGGCTGGTGTCATCGGGCCTGAGCTGCATGAGAAGCTGCTGTCTGCCGAGAAGGCTGTCACTGGGTACAAGGACCCCTACTCAGGTAACACCATCTCCCTCTTCCAGGCCATGAAGAAAGGACTTATTGTCAAGGAGCACGGCATCCGCCTGCTCGAGGCCCAGATTGCCACGGGTGGAATCATTGACCCTGTTAACAGCCACCGCCTCCCCATGGAGGTGGCCTACAAGCGGGGCTACTTTGACGAGGAAATGAACCGAACCCTCTCCGACCCCACCGATGACACCAAGGGCTTCTTCGACCCCAACACCCATGAGAACCTCACCTACATGCAGTTGAAGGAGAAGTGCATCGAGGATCCTGAGACGGGCCTGTATCTGCTGCCTCTGCGGGAGCCTGAGAAGCCTACAGTGGTGGAGACCACCCAGGTGTACACAGAGGCAGAGACGCGGAAGGTGTTTGAGGAGACACAGGTGGACATCCCCGTGGGCAGCAGGGCGGGCTCCTCCATGTCACTCTGGGAGATCATGCACTCGGACCTGCTGCCTGAGGAGCAGCGGAAGCAGCTCATGGAGGAGTTCCAGTCGGGCCGTGTGTCCAAGGAACGCATGATCATCATCATCATTGAGATCATCGAGAAGACTGAGATCATCCGGCAGCAGAATCTTACATCCTATGACTACGTCCGGCGCCGCATTACAGCTGAGGACCTCTACGAGGCCAAGATCATCTCTCTAGACATCTACAACCTGCTGAAGCAGGGCTCCAAAACCTTCCGGGAGCTCCTGGATGTGGAGACTGTCTGGAAGTACCTCTACGGATCGGGCTGTGTGGCTGGCATCTACATCCCCTCTTCCAAGCAGAAGCTTAGTATCTACCAGGCACTGAAGAAGGGGCTGATCAACTCCGAAGTGGCCCGCTCCCTCCTGGAGGCCCAGGCTGCCACTGGTTTCATGATTGACCCCACAAAGAATGAGATGCTGACTGTTGACGAAGCAGTCAGGAAAGGCGTGGTGGGGCCTGAAATCCATGACCGGCTCCTGTCCGCAGAGAGGGCTGTGACTGGTTACAGAGACCCGTACAGTGAACAGAAGATTTCCATCTTCCAGGCTATGAAGAAAGACCTCATTCCCAGCGAAGAGGCCCTCAAGCTCCTGGATGCCCAGATAGCCACCGGTGGCATCATTGACCCTCACCTGGGATTCCATCTGCCCCTGGAGGTGGCCTACCAGCGGGGTTTCATCAACAAGGACACATATGACATGCTGTCTGAGCCCAGTGAGGTGCGAAGCTACGTGGACCCATCCACGGAGGAGAAGCTCAGCTACACCCAGCTCCTGAAGCGGTGCCGGAAGGACGAGAACAGCGGGCTCCTCCTCCTCCCACTCTGCGACACAAGGAAGCTCACCTTCCGGGGGCTGCGGAAGCAGATCACTGTGGAGGAGCTGGTCCGTTCACAGGTGATGGATGAAGCCACTGCCCAGCGCCTCCAGGAGGGCCTCACCTCCATCGAGGAGGTTTCTAAGAACCTGAAGAAGTTCCTGGAGGGCACCAGCTGCATTGCTGGCGTCTTTGTGGACTCCACAAAGGAGCGGCTGTCTGTGTACCAGGCCATGAAGAAGGGTATCATCAGGCCAGGCACTGCATTTGAGCTCCTGGAGGCACAGGCGGCCACGGGGTACGTGATTGACCCCATCAAGGGCCTCAAGCTGACAGTGGAGGAAGCTGTGCGGATGGGCATCGTGGGCCCTGAGTTCAAGGACAAGCTGCTCTCTGCTGAGAGGGCGGTCACTGGCTACCGGGATCCCTACTCCGGAAAGCTCATCTCTCTCTTCCAGGCCATGAAGAAGGGCCTTATCCTGAAGGACCACGGGATCCGCTTGCTTGAGGCCCAGATTGCAACAGGAGGCATAATTGATCCTGAGGAGAGCCACCGCCTCCCTGTGGAGATTGCCTACAAGAGGGGCCTCTTTGACGAGGAGATGAACGAGATCCTGCTGGATCCCAGCGATGACACCAAGGGTTTCTTCGACCCCAACACAGAGGAGAACCTCACCTACCTGCAGCTCATGGAGCGGTGCATCACTGACCCAGAGACCGGCCTCTGCCTCCTGCCCCTGAAGGAGAAGAAGCGGGAGAGAAAGACCTCCTCCAAGTCCTCTGTCCGCAAGCGCAGGGTGGTGATTGTTGACCCAGAGACAGGCAAGGAGATGTCCGTGTATGAAGCCTATCGCAAAGGCCTCATCGACCACCAGACCTACCTGGAGCTGTCTGAGCAGGAGTGCGAGTGGGAGGAGATCACCACCTCCTCATCTGACGGTGTGGTGAAGTCAATGATCATCGACAGGCGCTCGGGGCGCCAGTATGACATTGACGATGCCATCGGCAAGGGCCTGATCGACCAGTCAGCCCTGGACCAGTACCGCTCGGGCACCCTCTCCATCACCGAGTTTGCAGACATGCTCTCTGGCAACATGAGCGGCTTCCGGTCACGGTCGTCCTCTGTGGGATCATCCTCCTCCTACACTGTCAGCCCAGCCCCTACGCGAACGCAGATATCCATGTGGAGCGACCCGACGGAGGAGACCGGGCCGGTGGCAGGTATCCTGGACACAGACACTCTGGAGAAGGTGTCCATCACAGAGGCGATGCGCCGCAACCTTGTGGACAACATCACAGGGCAGAGGCTGCTGGAAGCCCAGGCCTGCACCGGGGGCATCATTGACCCCAACACTGGGGATAAGTGCTCCGTTGCCGACGCGGTGAACAAGGGCCTGGTCGACAAAATCATGGTGGACCGCATCAACCTGGCGCAGAAGGCCTTCTACGGCTTCGAGGACCCACGGACCAAGACGAAGATGTCAGCAGCCCAGGCCCTGAAGAAGGGCTGGCTGTACTATGAGGCTGGGCAGCGCTTCTTGGAGGTGCAGTACCTGACAGGGGGCCTGATCGAGCCCGACGTCGAGGGCCGCGTCTCCTTGGACGAGGCGCTGCAGAAGGGCACCATTGACACACGCACGGCCCAGAAGCTGCGGGACGTGAACACCTACTCCAAGTATCTCACCTGCCCAAAAACCAAGCTCAAGATCTCCTACAAGGACGCGATGGACCGAAGCATGATCGAGGACGGGACCGGCCTGCGGCTGCTGGAGGCCTCCTCCCAGTCCAGCAAAGGCTACTACAGCCCCTACAACGTCAGCAGCGCCGGCTCCACCTCCGGCTCCCGGTCGGGCTCCCGGACTGGGTCCCGGTCAGGCTCCAGGCGAGGTAGCTTTGATGCCACTGGCTCCGGCTTCTCCATGACCTTCTCTTCCTCCTCCTACTCTTCCTCAAGTTTTGGGCGCAGATATGCTGCGGGTCCCCAGAGTGCCATGGAGGTGGCTGCCCTCGCCCTTGCCTTGTCCCTCCCGAGCAGGAGCTGCGGGCAGGAGGTGAGCGGGGAGCCCCCTGGGCTGCGCGGGCCCCCGCATGGAGGTGGCTGCCCTCGCCCTTGCCTTGTCCCTCCCGAGCAGGAGCTGCGGGCAGGAGGTGAGCAGGGAGCACCCTGGGCTGCGCGGGCCCCCGCTCCATGTGGCCTGAAACCTGCCGGCCCCTTCCCAAGGAACCCGCCGCCTCGCCTGCTCCGCATGTGGCAACGCTGCTGGCTAATCACTAGCATTTTTTTTAATTTTTAAACTCCATTCTTCTTCCAAAGCAGTGCCTAAAGTTTAACCAAAAAGACTAGACTAATATATTAATATATACGATTGTTCTGACAGTATTTGTATATTAAGAGATGAGAGAGAAAACACACTACCCTCCCAATCTGCTGCCCCAGGAGCCTG